TGTGTGGATCAATTGTTGCGCATTTGCAAGCATCAGGTCTCTCTGAAAGTGCTGTCCAAACGATTGTTTGTTCAATGGAAGAAGTTGTCAATGATGTTAAAAGTGAGGCAAAAAATGCTGTTCTTAAAACAATGTCTTCTGAAAATACAAGTTCAGACACTCCAGGATCCAGAATAGATAATTGTTTTGATCAATTAGGTAATCCTTTTACAGCATTAAACACAGAGTCAAAAAGGCGTAAATATTATAATGAAAAATGGGAAATAGTTGAACCTAAAGAATGTGTCCTTGGTGTGAGGCTGGATTTGCGCAGAGATAGAATAACAGGGGTATACAATGAGATTCCTGTAACGGACAAGTGTACGTATGTACCCATTCTGAGTACACTTAAATCCATATTCAAAAATGACCAAGTAAGAGAAAGCTTTCTACGGGACAAACAGAGTGAAAATGGCATTTACAAAGACATCAATGATGGGTCATATTGCCAAAACCATGCCCTGTTCTCACAGCAAAAACATGCACTACAGATTCTACTATATTACGATGACTTTGAAACGGCTAACCCTCTCGGTTCCAAAAAGGGGATCCACAAACTAGGTTGTGTCTACTTTACTTTAAAAAATCTTCCACCCAAGTGTAACTCAGTACTGATGAATGTACATCTGGCAGCTCTGTTTCATTCTGAAGATCTGAAAAAATATGGTTTTGATGTGATACTAAAGCCTCTTATTGATGATCTGAAATTTTTAGAAACCAAAGGCTTAAAGCTTCCTTCTTTTGAACAACCATTGTTTGGCTCAGTTATTCAAGTAACGGGAGATAATTTGGCTTTAAATGGCTTGTTGGGGTTTGTGGAATCATTCAGTGCAACCCATTTCTGTAGATTTTGTTTAATCAGTAAGCAAGAAATTCAATCTATATTTACTGAAGATCATCCTGGGTTAATTATCCGTTCCAAAGAGCTTTATACTGAACATTGTAAGGCACTAAATGAAAATCCTGAACTGCGGTCAATATATGGTGTTAAAAAGTCATGTGTGCTCAACTCCTTACAGTATTTCCATTGCACTGACAACTATGCTGTTGACATAATGCACGATCTGCTGGAGGGTGTAGTACAGTACGAACTAAAGCTGAATTTTGAGTACCTTGTTAAACAGGGCTATATCTCTTTGAACACATTGTCAAACAGGATACAGAGCTTTAATTATGGTTACACGGAGCGTAGAAACAAACCAAGTGGGATAAAAATGGATGATAAGAGCAAAGATCTAGGTTTGAATGCCATCCAGTCATGGTGTCTCCTGCGTAACGCTCCACTAATGTTTGGTGATGTCATTGAAAAGAATAACAGTTACTGGAACTTTCTGCTGCTTTTGATCCAGATTGTCAATATAGTGTTTTCCTACACCATAACTGATGGAATGATATGCTACTTGAAACATCTGATCTGTGATCACCATACTCTGTTCAAAGCATTGTTTCCTGACAAGAGGTTGATTCCCAAGCACCACTTGATGGTACACTATCCTAGATGCATACAAAAAATTGGCCCTCTTATCCATATGTGGTGCATGCGATTTGAAGCTAAACACAATTTTTTCAAAAGATGTGGCAAAAATTTTAAGAATCTCACTAAATCATTAGTGAAACAACATCAGCGTCAATTGGCATTTAACTATGAAAATTATTGCTTTAGAAGGTTTGAATTTGGTCCTACATCATCCAAAAACATCTGCAACTTGCAAGGTGGGAAAGAAATTAGTGAGACATTACATTTGGATGCCTGTTCAAATGTTACAAGTACAAGGTGGGTCAGATATTACGGTACTGAGTACCAGGTTGGGTTGTACTTATGCACTGGATGTACCGATGATCTTCCTGTGTTCAAAAAGATCTGTGATATTATAATACATGAACAGCATGCTTTCATAATATCCTGTAATGTACAAACAATGTACTATGATGACCACTTTAGTGCATACTGTATAGAAGACCAAATGAATGTGTTTTCTGTCATATCTGTGAAGGCACTGACTTATTTTAGACCATTTGACAAGCAATGCTCTAATGACAATAGTCAAAGAGCATACATAGTGCCTTATTGTTACATTTAGATAAATGTACAGCAATGAAAAAAGATTTGGTAATGTTGATGCATTTGAAGAAATAAAAATGTTAAAGTAGTGAACTTGTCATTCGTATTTCTAATTATTGACATTTCATTTAGAGATTTTTTTTTGGTGTGGGGGGGCGGGGGGGGGCAGCAATAACACTTTATAGTGTTAATGGGGCAACTCCTTTTATAGTATGCACATCACACTATAAGAGTTAATTAATGACTCCGATGAGTATTAATTTCTAACACTACCCACTGGTGTTGAGAAACTAACGCTTGAGTATTGTTAAATTTCAACTATATAAGAGTTAAAATTAACTCTATAACAGTGTTAAAATGGCAACACTTTAAAAAGTGTTACATTGACACTGTGTAGTGTGGACCCCATGGGACACTTTAAAAGTGTTAAAATTAACTACAATAGTGTTAATTTGAGTCTGTCCATTTTGCTGTGTACTTTGTTCATGGTGAACACTATAACAGCCTGTTCTCATTCAGATCATCACCACACTTCCTCAAATACAATACCATTTAAGCTTCAAATCAGCAGTTGAAATGTGTTTACTTAGGGTTAGTAGTATATTGAACAACATTTACAATAAAGTGTCTGTTTCTATTGGTGACAGTATAAGATCTGTTAGAGGGCTTCATCTAAATTTATTTCCCTGGTTTACATTTTTCTTTTCTTTAGATTTTTAAACTTAAAATGTAAAAACGTACTCTGCCAATTTGAACCAAATTACTGAAAAATATTTTTTGGTCCTCTTGGGTGTCAACAGGAGCAGAAATGTTCCTTTTATTGATAACCTTTAGACCTCTTAGTTACTAACAGTTATTGTTTTGTCCCATCATTAATAACTTTGTTGTAGATTCTAGATGAATTTGATTTTAATGCTTTATATGAAACAAATCTGAATTTGTGAGAATATCAAATGATCCGAACAAGGCCAAACATTAACACGCCTGGTTTCACCCAGTTTTGCTTTCACACACCGCAACCGAATTGATTCTCATTTTAATTATGTTGACCCAGACTCCGTCTCTCTTCTTCATTGACAACAAAACCAGCGCAGGCCGGCAGTCTGCCTCTCACACTGTGCGGATGACACCTCCGTCTCTTTTCAGAGGAACTAGTCGAGGATCCACTTTGATGTCACTCCCCCGCAAAGGAAAGGTCAAAATAATAAATGTAGGCCCAATTGATGGGTTGGCAGGGGGGATTGGGGGGTTTCAGTACTGATTTTTGGACGAGTGCTCCCCTAAAGGCATAATGAATTCATACAGTCAGCCACGGCCAAAGAGGAAAACAGCATGGGTCCTCTTTCCATGAAAAGGTTGATCTAAATCTGCAGACGAGCCTGGCTCCTTCTTCCCACTCATTCTTCACACACATCACTCTCCTCTCTTTCTTAGCATGGGCTTGTCTCACACTCATATAAACACACCCATGAAGAAATACTCCAAAATGACATCTTGTCTCTTTGACGCCCACCTTGGCATGTGCATCACCGCCTTCTCCCCTTATTCTCATCGTAAGATACTCCTCAAAGAAACCCTTGATTCAAGAGTCAAAAACCCAGAAATACACAAATAGTTAAAGACTTCTTTGAAGACTCCTCAGGTCACCTGGGTCATGGGATATCTGTTGGTAGGTCAAAGGCAACTGAGCTGTACCTTGTCTGCTGGCCTTTGATCTGCAAACTTGTGTTTTGTAGAGAACTTTATTTTAAATTAGAAGAACTATTCAGATATGTTGCTTAAGTTAAAGAGGTGATGCCTGAAATGAGTGTATGCAAGTAAACTGATAATGCTAAAAATGTAAAAAGTATTCACTGCGAAAATGTTCCAAAACAATGAACAGTAAACACTTATTGTTTTATTTACACTATTGGAAATGTAAAAAGTATTTTTTTACAAGATAATGATATTTGTGAATTTTATGTAAATTCAGAATTTGTAAAGTTGCTATGGCAGCACTTAAGTCAAATATTGCAAGCATGCAATATTTGTTTTTTAAAACACTATATTGTAGTTGTAGATGGAATAAAGTGGCTGGTGTGGATTATAATACAAACAGATGATGTATGAAGTGATAATAAACATGAGAAGTTCAATTGGTGACAAATACACCAGTATCAACTATTTATATATCTGCTTATTTCATATACTGTGTTAAGGACCATGTATTACATGTGTATAATGCTAATCATAAATGCTAAATAATAATTATATATATATATATCCCCAGGAACTGAAGCTATCCAATAAATGACCAGTATCAAAAAGCACATTCTCTCTCAAACGGAATGTTGATTGGAAGTAAATATACTCCAGTTAAGTACAATAGGCTCCACCACTGAAGTGAACAGACACAGACACACATGCTGCTGTCATAAAACTGGGTTATCGAACTTAAAGGGAAACTAAGAGGACATTTAAGGAAACTGGTGTTGCATTGTTATTGAATACTCCAAACATTTGCTGACACTAAGGCCCGGTCTTCCCGCATCGACAACGAACACTCGGATAAACCGATATAGACTAATATTTCTCACGGACGAACATGCAAATCGTCCCGATCAGCCACGACCCCCGCGCGCCGAGGCGGGATGCGCATCCACGCCGAGCTGCCGGGTTTTCTCGGCTGCGGGGCTGAACTACGCGCGTGAATCACGCATCACCACGGCAACCGGCGTGCGCGCCGCGTGCCCCCGTCAGCAGCGTCAGTGAGGTCCGATCCCGTCCACAGGCGACACGCGAGCACAGCAAATCCACAGTGAGTGTATGTTCTCTTCTCTACTCGTATCGTTTCCCTGTTTAGTCCGCGTTTCACACACCGATTCTGCGGGTAAATGGAGGCTCCCCCCCTGCAGCGACTCGTCTCTTTAGCGGCGCGATTGTCCTCCGCTCCAGTGAATAAACGGACGCGCATCGCATCTTTAATCGGGGGTTGCGTGGGCCTCGGTCGCCGTGCCTTATTTGCGCCACCAACGCCTAACGCAAACGGCTGTGTAGCTTATCGAAGGTCCTCTGGGCTTCTGGGACATTAAGTAAGTCCGCTACTCATTAAACGCCGTACATGTTGAGTGTGGCATTCGAGATAATTAAGGTATTCAAAAACCTTGTCTAAACTAGATAGAAAATGAGTTTTATCAGCCTTCGTTCCTGTGCTGCTGTATCCTGCTTGCACAGCCTGTATGTATGTCTTGTCTCAGCAGTCTCCAATGCAGCAACTTCAGATATGCTTGACCAGTGAACCCTGGAGAACTTCAGTCACAACGCAGCCCGTCTTCCCCTTCGGAAACCTGTGTCCTCCCTGCCCTGTCAAATGTATAAATATATGCAAGATTGTTGCTAGACAACGCCAAATTTCTTTGTTAATTAAGGGTAAAATGTGCATTTAAAAGATGTCATTATTATTATTATTATTTCTTCAGCCGAACTCTTTTGCTGTCCAAGTGTTGTTGGAACAATTAAACAACAGCCGACGCATTTGTTAACGACAGACACAGGATGAAGTGTTGGGAAGGAAAAAAATGTTGTCAGTACAGACGACTACTTTAGCCACCCACTCAGCAAGGACAAGCAGGCTACTTCTTGAGTACTGTACTCACTTGAGATCTCTCCTTTTCTCCATTGACAAATACCTCTTTTAACTGCTTAGAAATAACATTCAAAAAATAAAAAACAACCGATTCTCTATCGAGCTACAACTTGTTATTTTTCCTAATTTAGAGGATTTTCCTAATTTTCCTAACCATTCACTGTTTGGTGGCTTGGTCTCTGGTAACCAGCCCAAAATCTCAAATAAGGTTTCAACGTAATTACAACATATATTTCCTTCTTTATCAGACAATGGGTGCCCAGTAGCCTTTGTTAACAGTCTTGTAACTCCTTTATCATACCACCTTCCCTCTGCATCAGGGATGTCTCCTGCAGTATAAAAACTGTAGCTCTTTCCTCCTGCACACTGTATCATCATTGTGAGTCACTGGCGTCATTGTGGCCTGTGGGGTCTCGGCTGAGGGAAGGTGTTGTGTTGCACTGTGAGATAAGCGGATCCTCACCTCTTGCCTCCACATTTGGATGATTAATTAATCGAGGACAGAAAATAGAATCATTATCAGAGCAGAGAGGAGTTTGGTGCCGGTGGTTCTAAACATTAAGAGGAAGAGATGGGGCTGATGTTAATGTTATTTATACTCAGTGGATATGAAAGACTTGTCGACTTGAAATTGTTGGATGCACAAGCAAGAGGAAAGCATCAATATGAGGATGCAAACACAGAAATATGATTTCACTTAAATATGCCGCCACTTTAGACAATACATCACTCCACTTACATAATAAGTGAACGATGATGTGTTAAAACCATACGTTTGTTGTTTCACGTTAGGTTATCTGCAGGTCTATGACTTTTGTCTCCAAGCAATTGCCAGGGAAACGCCAAAGACGCCGTCCAGCATGACCTACCGGAACATAGAATTGCCATTTTTTTAACCATTATGTATTTATTGAGTTTTATTTAACAAGCTAAGAAGTCAACTAGAGTCAACAACTAATGCTAACATCATCATGCCAACATAGTCACAACAATAATGCAAACCTGCCTGTGTTTAGCAATGTTTACCAAGTTCACCATGTTAGTCCAGTGTGTCAGTCGCTGTGCTAATCACAATCAGAATCAGAATCTCTGGGCTTGTTTATACATTTGATTCTCAAAAACACAGTGCATACAATAACAAGGAACATACAAAAGGAATTAAGAAAAGGGAATATAATATAATTTAATATGGACAAATTAAAACTAAAATCAAAGTACTGAGGCTGATGGAGAATACCATGAGTTTTGTAGAAAATCCAAATATTGAACAAAAATATTGACTTGATGTTCAGCCCGAGGTTGACCCATATACATCCAACACACGAACCAACAAGCATTGCTTATCAATCTTATTTCTTGCGATATCAGACATACTTATGTTATTCTAATTGACTTTTTCTGAGGACTACATTCCTTTTGTCCTTCTTCTATGGTATGCAGTCCTGTTCTGTTCTCCCTGATCACACTGTCATTATCAGAGCACACAGTTTAAGTCAGTTTGAGCTGTCTGTCCCTGCTCTCCAGGTCTGTCCAGGCATTTTTAGGCCCCCACAGTAGCCATGGTGAAAATAGGCAGCAATCTGTCTGACAAACTGGAGAAGCAGCCGTCAGCGGACGACGGCTTCGATAACATCCCCCTCATCACACCCCTGGAGGTCAACCAGCTCCGGCAGCCGTTTGCAGACAAGGTAAGTGTGGCCGATCAGTTTGTTGTTGTGCCTACCTGCTCATGTTGGTCTTTGTCCAAAATACCGTGATTCTAAGTAGCAGGCAGACCACGCTTTAGTGCACTAAGGAAATAACTAATACAGAAGGGGGCTGTTCTCACCTTCTATTACCTCCCATCACAGGTAAAACCTTGGCCTCAGCCCACTTAGGCAGGCACCTTTTAATGCCAGAGGAAAGTAATCTCGTAATCATATTTTTTGTTGGATGAAGCACTCAGGGTTCCGCACGCTGATTAGATGTTGCTGAAACATCAACACAACATTTTTAAGGCATTGATTAAAATTGTTTGCCTTTGCAAATTATAGTTGTGTATTTTTGAAGATGGAAATTTTATTTTCAGTGGGTCACAACCTGCGCTGAACATCGACGACCACAAAATCCATCAACGATAATGTGAAACAAATCATAGGTAATTGGCAGGTTTCAAAAAGAGTCACAGCAACGGTACATTGTGTGTGCTTCAGGTCATTGTGAAGACGGTGACGCAATATCAGCTGCAGCAGAAGAAGAACAAGCTGTACGTGCCCAACATCAAGAAGCTGAATATCAACTTCTACAGTGATGTTTCTGACAAAGCCAAGGTACAAGAACAACTCCACATCTGTAAATCCATGTTCCAGACCAGAAGACCAAAACAAGAAACACTCACAAGAATCAACTGTCTATCCAAATTGTGATGTACTACACTACTGGCGCCATCATGTAGCTAAAAAAAATATTAATTGAAAATGTCTCCTTTGACGCTGTAGATTATTTTTGGTATTTAAAATAGTCCCTAAATGTACTTAATAGAACATGCTACATTCTGCCATAGTCAGGTGTTTTATAAACATATTGAGCTTTTTTTTCAACCACATTTTATTCAGGGGTAATCAATAGGATTGGGGCAGAGTTGTTGCTAGCCAGAGAATATGGAGAGTCAACCAACATCATTTGATTATTTTCATGTATTGAAGGCACTTGCTGTTGTACGTGTGTGAGTTAATATGTGTGTTGCTGCGCAGATTACAGGTCTGATCCTCATCACTTTGGCTTTCCTGACCAGCTTGCTCCTCCTGCTCATGTACAAAGCCATGTGGTACGACCAACTTACCTGTCCAGAGGGTTTCATTCTTAAGGTAGGAAGCACGGGCATGATAAGCTCTCACAGACATTAAAATGCTGCTTAGCATATCTCAATTCTTCATTTTCACTCTCCCTGCAGAAAATGGAATGTGCATAACGTTTGTATCTGCAGACACACACCATACAGATGTATAAACGGGGATTTACATGATTTAGGGAGGGAAAGACAATCTTCCTGCAGCACAGCAGAGACCAGCCGAACCAATGAAATAGCCTCTTCCTCCGATATCACAGACTTCTTATTTCATTTCCAGGCCGAAGTAGTCGTGTGTGCGTCACCCACTCAAAGGCTAAATACACAGTCTACTGCGCAGCTGGTACTTTGCTTCTCGCCGCACCCTCGCATCAGTCACTTCGGGAGGATTCTCTGAAAACTCAAATTAATGATCTCCCAACGACACCTTGGAGGCATCGTGTAGCGAGCTGGGGCTGCCATGCATGTTAGTTAAAGACCCACTCTCACATAAGAGATGAGAGAGAGAGAGAGAGAGAAGAAGGGAGCTAGAGAACCAGCTTTCTGGTCAGGCACAGATTGGTGCGCCCGCTTGTGAATCGGAGGGGTCTTTAATTAGGCCTGAGCGTGACTGAACTGTGATTAAAGGCTTAGCAGTAAGGGGGGAAGCAAGGAGGGGAAGAGGGAGGGAGAGGACCTTCCGGCAAGGCTTTTGAAGTTTTTTTGCCGGTTACAGTTGCTTTCAGCATTTTTTCCTGCCAAGGCGTTGTGGAGGCATAAAAAGAGGAGTTAGGATGAAGGGAGGCGAAGTCACTGCTGTGCTTTTCAGAGGTTCGACCCCTCACTGAGGTGGAAGGTCAGGTAGTGGATCCTCGTAGGAGAAGCGCTCTGGAGGTCAACACAACTCAGTGGGCTCTTTCCATAACATAATATTGTCAGGAGGGAAGCTCAGTTTGTTTGATTTAATTCAACCTCGTGGTCTCGTACACACTCACCACCCTCCTAAACAACAAGTCAATTTGAGTGTAGAGATGTTGCACATCTTGGTTTTCCTAAGTGAAGGCCCGTTCTAAATTGACCTTGCAACCGTGGTGTATTAGCACTGTAAACCCTGAATTATGACCCTTTTTTTAACTTCAACATTAGGTTTCCACTGCTCATCTGGTTATTTCCACCTACCTTTCTTCTCAGTCACACATGACTTCATCTGGAGACCTCTATGAATAAACAAACCTCTTAGATCTTATTCCGTAGCCCTTTACAACAAGGAACACAACATTTTGTTACCAGGGAGCAAATTAGGAACTAACTAATAGCAAACCATTCATTAATGGCCAGTTTTACAATAACTCCTATTGTACAAATTGTACAAAAGGTACTTAACCAATAGCTAAATCATAACTTTGTTATTGCCCACCATAATTCCAGTTGTTGTGTCCATTGGTTCAATTACCAATATATGTAAAGTGTTGTATGACACTGGGTGGTTACTCACTACTAAATCATAACTTTATTCGTTACCAAGTTTGTGCCATAAACTGTATCTGGAACAAACCTGCATCGTGATGAACAGGTAATGATTCTGTGATAACAATTCAGTATAGTGCTCAACACCAAAATAAAAACTAATAAGAGTGCTGAAGACATGAGTCGTGAAAGCTGCAAATGAGTTAGCACTATTGTACTTCGAGTTCACTAATCTCAGAATCAATGGATGGGTTTTTAAAACGTGCTTCTGGTTGGACGCCTAAAATAGGGTGTGCGATAACATTGTCATCTCTGAAATAAAATCTGTCCTTACCTCTGCCATGAGTTTTGGAGTGTCTAAGGCAGCTGATAACAAGTAGCTAAATGACAATACATCTTATCCTCAGTTCTATTCACCTCCACAGTCTTGTTGTGTATTCTTATGTTCTTGGTCTTGTTCTTGTTCTTGTAAACGTTTTCAGCAGTATGAAATCTACTCAAGTGTATTAATCATTAATTCCGTAGTACACCACGAAGTGATGCATTTCAGGTACAAATATTTTGTCTATATTGACCTGCTGGTATGGACTTATGATAACATCCAAGCAGTTTGTCTTCTTGAAACACACAAGGACCAGTTTTTCGTTCTTATCCAACAGCAGAAGCATTGCACCCCGGCAGCTCTGGAGATGTACTACACAGAGCAGCAGGAGGAGCAGGACCCGGGCGTCCGTGGCGGGGTCAACGCCGGGCTGTACGCCGCCCTCAGCCGCCTCAACCAGGTCAAGAGGACTGGGCCCGAGCTGCCATCGCCGTGGTTACCAGTCGTCAGTGCTCCGAAAGAGGCCGAAGCGGCCAAACAAAGTAGTGAGCAGCTGAGAGGAGCGCTCGAGAGAGAGGAGTGACGGGTCCGACAGAATTGCTCCCGTTAAACGGAAGAAGTGATGATGGGGCGGCAGAGTAGATACAGTTTTGATTGTATTTGTTCAGGAATAGATTTTAGTTTCCCTCGTAGTCCATCAAATCACTCATTTATACTGGTGCTCCAAAACCATAAAGGTGTCTGTATAACTACTGACAATTTAAATCAGCTCTGTAAACCTCATGTTTACTCAACTTCAATCCAATTAAATTCCGTTAATTTTTATATTAGCGTCTAATACCCAACTTTGTGTGTGTGTGTGTGTGTGTGTGTGTGTGTGTGTGTGTGTGCGTGTGCGTGTGGTGAGATGTTGTGGTTTGAAGCAGGAATGTCATTAAAGTGTTGAGGAATGTGCCTGACTTTTACAGTGTTACTGAGGCGTGAGTAATCGCCACCATCTGCATTCAGTGTGTGTACATACACACTGTAAATGCTCACATGAACGTGAAAGCATATGTATTGCATGCATGTTTGCAGTTGTTTGCTTTTGTGTGCGCGTGTGTGAATGTGTGAGTGTGCGTGTGCCCGTGCACATGTGTGTGTGCATGTATGTGTACTTGTCTACGAGAGTTGAAGGTCTGAGAAGAGAAGCGAAGCAACAGCTCGGGCTGCAAAGTGAAGATAACAAGTTTTTAATGAGATCACAGCCAGTTTCTCCTCATCCCTCCGTCTCCTTATCTCGCCGTCTATTCAGTTAGTTTCTTGGGAGAATGTATGAAATCATCAGCAAACAACCTCACACTTTAAACATTAAAATAAAGAACTGTAATTTACCTTTTTTGTCTGCAAATGAAATTGTGCATGTGATCATCTGGAGGAGGTAAATTGCAGTCCTATTAGATAAAGTCAGGGTTTTCACAAAGAGGCTTTGGAAAGGATCAAAGTATTAGAAATGTACTGAAAAAGACCAAGCTCTTTGTCATTGTGGATAAATGTGTGTGAAAGGAATTCCCAAATAAATAAAATCATCTCCATTTCAACGTAAATGAATGACGCAATTAAGTTTGCAACATGTTAATTGGGCTGAAAATATTCTGATGCCACTGTACATCTCTTCATTATGTTACCGAGGATGTGAGCAACTTACTGTAATTGTGAATAAAGTTGTAGAGCTTTTAACTTATTACTACAAAATAAATATCTAAATTTCAATAATGCTGTTTCTAGATTTGTTTTTGATGTATGTCGCCATGATTATTGTGTAATACGTGTTGTTTTCACACGTTTTCTATTTCATTAACAAATGTACAAGTCTATTATTTGGTGTTTTTTCGATGGTAAAGTTGTTTGTAGATCTTGCTTTGTTAGGGGTCAATAATTATTTTCCTATCTTATGTACATCCTCGTTTAAAGGGGAATACTTAAGTGGATTGTTTCTTTCTTCATCCGTCAAAAGAAAAAATGTCTTCTCTGTCCCTTTCTCAAATGTTGACTTTCATATTTTCCGTATCAGAACTCTTCATGTGAGTATGTGAGATCACAGCACGGCTTGTGCTTCAAGTTCAAGTGCCAAACATTTGCTGCAGACCCATCTGCTCTGATGTAACTGACAGAACACAAATACATGACTTAGTTGTTAAATTCTTTCATTCACAACCCGGCTCTGTTGATTTACATCTATTACTTCTAATGACCTCAATTAATGACACTGAAGAAATTGTAGCAATTTTATTTAACAGAAAAAACCCGTTATGTGTTCCTCAGCCAACAGCAACTAACTGAACTTTTTAGTTAGAGCGGAGTTGGCGGAAGGACGCTGCCTCAAGCAAAATCATTAACTATTATTATACTAGTATTGGTACCATATACTATTAACTACTATTATTGTAAAACACTTTGTTACTGGCAATTCAAATACAGACCGGTACACATATGACAATAACATAAGTTGTACTGCACAAGGATACATTTGACCTTTTACCTCACTATAGAACATATATATCATTCATATTTTGGTGACATGCTTAATGCAGGCTTCACCTCTGGTTCAGCATTTGTGATCTATTTTATAGTTTCAAGGAGAAATACTGTAAGTATGTGATCTTATTCTCTTGGTCAAAGATGATCAGTATGCATAGAATTAAAAAAATAATTCCTTTCAACCAAGAAATTCTCAGCAAAGCCACATCCTCTCTCTCTCTCCCCCCCTCTCTCTCTGCTGGGTTCACTGCTGTGAGCTTGTCTGTATCTCATTTACACTCACGAATTTTCACACCATCGCGCAAACTCAGGGGTGTGTGGATTGAATTTTGTGTGTGTGCCATTGAAATTATATGTGTGTTTAGTAAGGTATTTATCCAAGTGTCTTTGGGTTGCACACGTGCTTCCAAGTGTGTGTGTGTGTGTGTATGTGTGTGTGTGTGTGTGTGTGTGTGTGCCTATGTGAGCCCATGCTTAGCTTGTTAATTAAATCTACATTACACACTGCTTAGCCTATATGGTTTCCCCCCCAATGTTACAGGGCGACACATTTTAGACGGTATTGGCCCAGGGCATGGAACTGAAATAAAGTGTTGAAAAAATATTTATTAGGGCATTTACAGATCCCATGCCTGGTCAAAGCATGTTGTGCCAAAAAAAGTCTAGATTCAGGGCCGGGGGAAAATCACGTAAAATCAGCCGAGTAGTCACATAAAGGCCGCCAAGCCTCGTTTTCCTGCTTTATTGCATCAACAGATCTGAACAGTAAAATAGCAGGTTGGGTTTTTAATTTGTCCTGATCGCTCGTAGTCCCCTTGTCCCCCTGAGAAGACTGCCAGCGTGGGACGAGCCAAGAGTCATTAAGCCACTCATAACATCATTTCTAGTCCTATTCACCACCTTATTTTGAAAAATATGCATATTCTCCTTCTGGCTTAGAGTGAGTTGACCAACATCTTGCCCCTCCCTTTTCTGTATGTCAAATAGGAATCTGTAGCCTGCGGCTGGTCAGCTTAGCTTAGCTTAGCATAAAACCCAAACCACAGTAAACAGTAAAAGTTTCAAAGGAGTGTGCCAGAAAATCTAGAATTCTGGTGTATCTGCACAGATATAACAGTGGCATCAACCTTCTTGTATAATTCACTGCATAATAAGCGTATTCACTTGTGGAATGTGGTTAAAAGAATTATAAGCTTTTTATGAAATTACGACTTAAAAACAGCAGAGCTCTGAAAGTTTTTGAAGTTTGTCATGATACATCATAAATGCAGTGTTGAAACAGGTGAAAGGACACATTTTTTGTCCATTGATCACGGCTGCAAACAACAAGGATAAATAATATATGCATTTTGCTTGCAATGACACCAATGTGCAACAATTACATTTTCGTTTTACATGGAGTTTAATTTCAGGGAACTTTGACTGCACTGCCCCCATTCAGCATGAGTATTACCTCATCCGTCCACATTCATCTGCATGTGGGACTGACATGGTGCATGTTATTAAGAATCCCACTGCTTTTCTGGGCAAGACCTGTGCTCCGTAACATTCAATTCAATTGACAAGGCATCATGCCTACAAGATACTTGAAACCCGATCCGCTCAGGTCTGATACTCTTACAAATGGGCTAACCATAAACAAACAAAGTCAATGCTTAATCTCAATGAATCGTCTCTGCTTTAATCGGCGAGTATGATGCAATAAAATGGAGTGGGGTCCAAAATGACGAAGTAGACGCTTCAGTGGATTTTTCAGTGTAACAGAATGTAATTAAGTTTGATGAATAGCAAGAGAGAAAGCAAAGAAGCGCAAGGCAGACAGCAGAAAGATGGAAGGGAAAGCAGAAGAAAAGATGAACAAGAGAGAAATGGCAGAAGAGAGGGGGCCAGGCCTGGGGAGAGGAGGCGGGGGGTAAGGGTTTGGGTAGGAGAAGAGGAGGCGGTGGAGGCCAAGGGGCCTGGAGGTGGTGGTGGTGGAGGAGGAGGGTGAATCCAGGCTGACCCCTGTGTCTGTGTGTGTTGTTGTGTGTCTCAGTGGGTTTCCTCTGCCCTGGCGCCAGCTGGAAATGCCTCCACTAAGCACAGGCAGTACACACATCATCCTCCATTCACCCCCATTCAGTCCCCTTTGATGAGAGTAACACTATACATGCCCAGCGCGCCTCACAGATCCTATCAAGCTGCTGTTTAAAGGGCAAGAGCGAGAGCCGGGGCGGCTGATCATAACTTATCGTGTTTTCGGACCCACTGTCATCCAGTTTCGTTGCCCTGCGGAGCAAATAAAAGGGAGGACAATTGAGGAGGTTTCTTAATTGAAGTGACGTTGTTGTTACAGTGGTGGAGGTTTTGTGACGTGCGCTGCCACCTAGAGGTCATCTCCCGTGGTTGCAGAGAGGAATGTGGTATTTCTCTCCTTATTTTGAACCAGTTTGATAAGCAGAATGAGTGTATTATCTTTTCTAAAAGGCCATTGAAGTCACTAAAAAGCTGATGTTGAGGCATCTTCCCTGTGATTTATCAGGTAATTATACCCTGTTGAATATACCTTCGGTACCTGCTGTCGGATTAGTCACAGTTGCTCTTAATAGTTGATCCTCTTTTTAAAATGAATCAATGGCCATGAAATTAGTCATTAGTCTGTTATGTTGCCGTAATTTTGCGTGCAACAAAAACCTCGCCAGTAAACAATTATCCGACTGACGTGGCGAGGTAAAGGCCCAAATCTGCAGCCCAGACATGCCGTGAGGGAGAAAAACCAACGGCTTTGCTTAGCTTAGCTTTGGTTTGCTTTGTTCTGGCCATTAAGGAGTCGAAATATTGTCATTACTCGCAGAGCAAATCCTTTTACGACATCCTGCACTTAAACTTTAAGCTAATAGGTTAATTAGACAATTGGAGTTTGAACACTGGAAGTTGGTTTCTATTAGAGACGGTAACGCAGGGAGAAGTTAGCTGTTGCATGCTCTCTACACACACTCACACACACACACACAGAGAACAGACTGGTTTGATTTAGGTTTGCGGTGCCCTCCCGTAGCAGGATCAGACAGGCAGAAAGGGACCAAGTAGTGAACTCCAGTTTAGCCTGAGCCCGGCTGTCTCTGCTAAGCTTCAAGTTGGAACCCTCCAAATTGGGTTTAATCTGTGTTTTGCTTTGGCAATTATCGACCCGCAGAGCCGCATGGCAAATAGGGATGAATGAGCTTTAGATGGGCCTGGTTGAGAGGAAGGTCACCGTGTGATTAATGGTTATCTGCGGAAAATGTATGTCACACTGGACCAAAAGGGGTTCATCATACTGTCTATTTGTTTATCAATCAAGTTGTTCGCGGTCTGGTTTCTGTGTCATGTAATACCAGAGTTGTAGTATGGTAGTTTTATGACGATGAAGATAAGGTCTGTGAGGCCGCTGTTCATTTAAATACCTGGTAATTACTCCCTGTTCAATGTGGAAAAACACACATCTTTTCTCTAAAACTTTCAATTGATGAAGTGCTGAACTTGCTAGGCAGGTTACGTTTTCAATTTTGTTTTCTAAATTTCAGATAATGGGCCACTGCTGAAACAGTTGACTCATCACAAGCCTGTGGGGGGAAATCTTTTCTCTTCAAGCTCTCCAAAATCAGAGTAAAAACAATTGTTGAGGGAATCTCAGACTTTTGGTCCTCAAGTCTTGTATTTGTCCTAAATCATATGTGACAGTGTGTGGAGTTTTGAAGGAACTTCTCACGTTGTATTATGGAAAATGTTGGATTGTCTTTTACTAGAGCATGTTCTTCAAACCTCAGCTGCTTTGATCTTTTAGAAAGCCAAGTCTCTTGTGAGTTCCTCAAATTTAAGTTTCATACTGAACATCTGGATTTGCGATTTAAAATAATGATTGAAGACACACCTGCTCTCTGTAACCGTATTATTGTGAATATAACTCATATAATACCGATTAATGTATACATCTTTTGGTCGCCTCATCTCAGATCAGGGTGACAAATGTATCACTGTGTCCTCTTACCATCGTTTACTTCTCAAAGATATGCAGTTTTTAAACCAAAAAAAAACAGCAAATCCACAGAATTGAGAAGTAGTAACTGAAATTTTACTTCAACGATAAATTATCAGAGTACTAACCTCATCTTTTTTTGATAGATATACATTATTGATACTTTTTTGCTTTGTAACATCAACATGAAAAACACGAGTGATGGAGTACGTCTATCTCTAAAGGAACACAATGATCA